TGGATTGTAAGCGGCGGGCAGCATTGAGGGGGCGTGGGAGGTTTGGGGGGGTGTTTGGGGCATACCATGGTTGGTTTTTCCAGATTTTGGGCGGTTTTGGCTTTGGGGGGGGGTAGGGCCGGGGTTTGGGTTTTTAAAACCCGGCGGCAAAAGGGATTAGGTTGTTAGGGGGGGAGGGGGGGAAAGGGATTAGGGGGGAATGATTCTTGTTGGGGGGCATTGCCTTGGTAAGGAGGGGTTTGGGGTTTGTTTGGGGTTTTGTTGGAAGGGGGCTTTTTTTAAATAGGAGGTAATTCCCAAAATGTGGGAGGTGTACGGGGGAAGCCGGGCAGTTTTATTAGGGGAACGCAGGGTTTTGGAAGGGGAGGAAGTTGGTCCCGGAATTTTTGGGGGGGGTGGGAGGAAAAAGGGGGGGGGGGGGGGGTAAAAAGGGGGGATTTTCGGGAAAGTTTTTTTTTTTTCCCCAAGGAAAAGGATTTTTCCCCCCCCCCCCCCCCAAACAAGGACGCCTCGCGTCCCCCCCCCACCCGAAAAACGCCTCGTTTTCCCTCCCAAAAACGGAACAGTTTTGCACATCAGAGCTTTTCTTCACGACCCTGAAGGAGAGGCTCATCGCCCACCCGCTTGTGGCGAACGTGAACGCCATCCAGACCGCAGCGGTAAGCGCTTTGTGTACATTCAACCGCCGGTTGTAACGCTCCGATCTTCTCCACCCCAAGCGGCCCGGGACGCCGCGCTCGTCACCCTGCACGGCGGCGGCGGCGGCTCCTGGTTGACCCGTTCCGCTTCCGACACTGCTGCCGCCGTCGATAGAGCTCGAAACGTTCGGTTCCCTTGTGATGTTTCTCTATCTCGTGCGCTGCTGCGTTGTATGGTACGCGAATTTTTGATGAGACAGTTGTGTTTTATGTGGATCTGGTGCTATGATTTATGTTTTGAGACCGTTACGGGACTAGTGCCGTGAATCAATCGAGTTACCCCTCCCCCCCTCGACAACAAAACGCGTTACAATCTCTTTCCCTCCCGTCAGGTACCCATCATCGAGCTGGTGTTCGACGAGATCGACATCGACTTGGGCCTTGCCTGCTTGCCGGTGCCAACCGTGCCTCCAACCCTCGATATCGACGACGATCAGGTGCGGGGGGGTTAGCATAGGAACGAGTGTGAGCAGCGAAGAAGAAGCATGGGCGTACCGATGTTCTAGTCGGGGGGGGTCGAGATTTTGTTCCTTTGGGGGTGGGCGGCATGTCCCCCCGCATGCATGTCCTCGTTTTCGTTTCGTTTTTTTTGCGACGTGTTGACGGTGCAATAGCCGCGTTTCTTTGGGCGTGCTCCTTCGTGGAGTGTGTCTGCGCGCTTGAGGAAAACAACGCTCGTAACCAAAGTGTTTGTTGTCATTGGGATTGGTGGCGGTGGTGGTGGAGGTGATGTCCTGACCTCCTCCACCCGAAAGCGTTCGGTCATCTTCCGCCGAAGAGTCGAGTCATCCCTCTGACGAGACAAAAACAAAAAACGGTCGCCCGTGGGCACACGGATCGACACATCTATCCTCAGCGTTTGTTTTTTTTTT